GGGGTCGCCCCCCTTCCGGAGTCTGTTCTCGCGCGGCAAACCCTGGTGCCGAGCAGCGGCCTCAGGACACGGGGGCCTTGGCTCGCCTCAGGGCGGGGCTGACCACAGCGCGGTGGGCCCCCGCTGGGGCGACTGTGCTGAGAAGGAAACGGCGGGGCCAGGGGACACAGGGCCTCTGTGCCCGGTGGCTTGAGGGAGACTGGCTGCGTTCACACAGAGACCCCAAAGGCTGGGCAAGCACAGGTATTCCAGGGCCGCGGGCTGCCACGAGCCTCTGGGCCTGGGGCAGTCGCGACAGAGCGGCCCTGCTTCCCCCGCAGAGCACTTGGTGAACGGCCGGATGGACTTCGCCTTCCCGGGCAGCGCCAACTCCCTGCACAGGATGGCGGTGGCCCACACCGCCTACGGCACCCACCTGAGCCCACACCTGCCGCCACGCGTGCTGAGCACGTCCTCCACCCTCACACGGGACTACCACTCGCTGACCCGCACGGAGCACGCGCACTCAGCCACGCTGCCCGGGGACTACTCCGCCCTCTCCTCCCTCTCCTCCCACGGTGAGCGGCCTCCGCCCGCCCTGCCTCTCCCACTAATCCTGCCTCTCTTGCAGCTCCTGGAGGCTCGGGCTGCGGCCTGCCATCCCCACGTCCGCGCGCGCACACACACACTCTCACACCCTCCCGCCCTGCTCCTCTTACTCTTGTTTTGTCCTGCCCTAGGCCTCCCTCCCATCTGGGAACACGGGAGGAGCAGGCTTCCGCTGTCCTGGGCCCTGGGGCCCCGGAGTCGGGCTCAGATGAAGGGGTCCCCCCCCTCCAGGGGCTCACGAGACTCTATAATCCTGGCTGGGCGGCCAGCAGCGCCCTCCTGGCGCCCAGGTAGTACAGGGGTGGCCATCCCGTCCCGCCACTGTCCTGCTCCATGTCATCCAGCCACCACGGCAGCCGTGCCCGCCGCTTCACCTTCCATTCCACCCACAGGACCCCTGCCCACCCACAGGCGCTAACTTTCTGTGCCCACCCTCATCAGCATGATGCCTAACATTGCCTCGGCCCATCTGGGGTGCGGGGCTGGGGCTGGGGCTGGGCAGAGGGCGGGCTCAGGCCAGCTGAGGTGATGGGGGTGGGGCTGGCAGACTCACAGGGCTCCACCTCGGCACAGACAGGACCCGCGGGCGGTGCTGGGCAGCCCAGACAGGGGGTCGCAGGGTGAGTGGGCTGCCCAGCCATGGGTCAGTGTAGACGTGCCAGCAAAGGGAGGAAGGCAGGCGCGGGACTGTGGCTCCCGCCCAAAGACCCCAACCCCTGCCCCTCAGCTGACAGCAGCCTCCTGTCTCCAGACTCTTGCCTGACGGCTGGTGTGCCCGACACACCCACCCGCCTGGTGTTCTCTGCCCTTGGGCCCACATCTCTGAAAGTGAGCTGGCACGAACCACAATGCGAGCGGGCCCTGCAGGGCTACAGCGTGGAGTACCAGCTGCTGAATGGCGGTGAGCACAGCTACCGTTGGAGGGTGCAGCCCTGCGAGGCCTGGCCCCGTGCATCAGCCTGGGGCACCCCAGCTGTCAGAAACCCACCCAGGTCCGAGCATATCGCCCCTGCCCAGACCAAGAGGGTCTCTTACCCCGTTCCCCCTCCACCCTTCTTCATACCCACTGCTAACACCACCTGTAAAGTGCTCTGTGGCTGCCGGCACTGTCACTGGGAAGCAGGCACGGAAAAAACGATGCTCTCCCATGTACAGACAGGAAACTGAGGCTCAGAGCCTTAAGTAAAGATCTCCCAGCTGGTGACAGATGCCAGTATCCACCCCCTTGCCAGGTCTCCTGGCTGGCCCAGGGGTCTTCTGAGGTCTCATCCACCTCCCTGGGGCCACTTTCCTGGTCACTCCCTCTGCTAGGTTTTTTGTTGTTGGGGTCTCACTCTGTCATCCACTGGCATGCTCACAGCCACCCCAGTGTCCACCTGCTGGGCTCCAGCAATCCTTCCGCCTCAGCCTTCCAAGTAGCAGTGTGCTACTGTGCCCAGCTAATTTTTTATTTATTGTAGAGACAAGGTTTCGCCAAGTTGCCCGGGCTGTTCTCGAACGCGTGGGCTCAGGCAATTCACTTGCCTTGGTCTCCCAAAGTGTGGAATTACAGGCTGAGCTACAGAGCCCGGCCAGCTTTCTTCTTTCAATGCCGCTGAGCTTACCTGAGATTCCTAGGATGCATGTACATGGAGGAAGGGAGGGGGTATGAATCAACACCAGATGGGAGTGGCACCCCGCTACTGTCTACCCCAACCCAACCCCTCAGGCCCGCTGCATCGGCTCAACATCTCCAATCCTGGCCAAACGTCAGTGGTGGTGGAAGACCTCCTGCCCAACCACTCTTACGTGTTCCGTGTGCGGGCCCAGAGCCAGGAGGGCTGGGGCCGAGAGCGCGAGGGCGTCATCACCATCGAGTCACAGGTGCACCCACAGAGTCCCCTCTGCCCCCTGCCAGGTGAGTTGCCTCCCGCCCCCACA